GGAACCATAATAGTCAACAACAGGTTGAAAACAATGCTTACTTGTGTTAAACCTTGTCTATTATGGGAACCATAGTATGCTTAATAATTCTACCAGCCATGATTGGAAGTCCTAAATATTTCCATTATTTCCAGAAAGGGGAATTCTAGTGCTTGTATAGTACTCTTTCTTAACCTCCGGGGAACATATGGCTCACAGTCAAGCTCGAGTCAAGCCAAGCTTGAACTTGCAAAGCTTTTGAGTCAAGACAAATTCGAGTTCAATTCTCTAACTCGATTCGAGCTTGAGCCTTATAGTTTTTAGATGAACTGAACTTGAATATCCAAATATTCAGCTCAACTCGGCTCGACTCTATCCCTAATCAGAGTTAATACCATACTAACGGTGTTTATTGACCATTTGCTGTCCAACTCCAACTGTTATTTGGATGTGCTCWCTAGTATTTCTGCCTCTCTCAACTTACACAAGGAGTTTTGAGAGAGTTACCACTCTCWAATTGTTTAAAGTTTAAACACCACCTAGCAACATCTCTATAAACGTTCTTGAACGAACAATTAATAGAGAATACAGAATGTAGATATAAGGCTAAGATATGATTTATGGTGATATACAACTGGTTTCTTCTATTCCGATCCATCTATTTATTCTGTTGGATAGTGTTGTGAAAAAAGGAAGAAAAAATTTGTTTTTTTTTTCCCTTCGAATGACACCAATTGCTCTATCTGACATGCACTGGTAGAAGAAAAATTAATATGTTGTTTTGTGAAATTTTGAAAAACAATGAAGAGTAAATAGAGATAACCTGATGAGTTCTGTCAATCTCTGTTTTCTGGTTATTGTAGGTTATAAATATAATTTTAGAAATTTAAAGAAGAATGAAGGGTAAACTAGACATTTTCATCTTTCCAAACAGTAGGTGAAGTTTTAGCCCATTTTGTTTTATAGGAGTAGTTTAAGAGATTTCCCCTAATAGTTATGTAGATGTATTTCTATTTAAAAACAAGAATTGGAATCAAATCCCACCTGCAGTTAGTAAATATGTGTAATGCATAAATACGATAATGAAAATGTTTATTTACAATTCAAAACTAAGAAAATACGGCAAGAAAATTGGTTGAATACAATAAAAGATCAATCAAATATGTATTTGYATACAATAGGTTAATATATGCATACATAATATTCTATTTTTTAAACTTTAAAAATATATGAAATTAAAGGTTTAAAAATTTTTATTCCCATATTTTTCATAATCCAAATTATTCATGTTTTACGCATTTCTTCCCAAATTATTTTGGACCCCAGGGAATTTTATAGGGCTCCCTACCTTTTCCTTCCTTTCTCTATTTTTTCTTTCAAACCAAACAGAGGCTTACTAGTTACTTGTCCCTAACCCAATGTGCCATTTATAAAGTATACAACATTTATAATTTCATTGAGCAGCTTGTGTTGACATTTCATTTAAGGCTATGTTTGGTTGCAATGCAAATTTATTTGTATTAATACAAATGCATGGGAGTGTAAATGTAAAAAATGCAAATTCTTGTTTAATTTTGTTTTGGATTTTATTTTATTCTGCTTCATGTCTTAATTTGCTTCATTTGTACTGCAATTAGACAAAATAATCTAAAATTTGAAACAAAAATAGGTCAGAATTTACACTCAAATCATTTGCACTGCCATGGCTTTGCATCAGTGTGAATTTATTTGCATTGCAACCAAGCACAGCCTAAGGCTCTGTTTGTTTGGGTGCAAATTTCACTCACACTGGTATAAAATGCATGAGAGTGCAATATATGTTGAATGCAAATTCCAGCTTACTTTTGCTTTAGATTTGACATTGTCYTTCTGTCTTGAGAAGTGAAATAAGTGAAATGATGTTGCCCCTACCTTATATGAAAGAAAATGGGGATAGGAAGAGGTTATATCTTTGAGAGAGGTTGGAAGCAAGATGTAGTCTCCACTTCATATGAGAGAGAATTGAAACACGAAAGTGTTACAAATTTTGCACTAGAAACATGTGAATACAAAACTAAACAGAGTGCAAAAATTGTATCCTCTTCAAATCTGCGTTGGAAAYATAGTCTAATGAGAAAAATAATACTGCTAAGGCTGTGTTTGGAAACGATGTAAATAAGTGTGAAAGCAAATATGTAGAGCGTAATATGGTTCACATAAATTGTAAAGTTGGGTTAGTTTTGCACTGACAAATTTACCTTTACCTTCTTGCCAAATAGACTTTTAGCTGTAATAGATGCAAACATGAATTTAAATAAGGCATATGTTTTTTTTTTATCAAAACCCCACTTGAATGCATTGATGTACTTTTACATCTTATTATCAATGTAAATATGCATTGATCTGTCATTTATCAATGCATAAATGCAATATTACCAAACACAAGCAAAAATGAACCAGAATGCAAATTTACTCTGAACTAGAATTTATGCTCTATTTGCATCGTTTCCAAGCGCAGCCTAAAGATTTATATGATAAAATAAGTTAATAAAACTAAGTTAACTAATGATACTGGTTATATTATAAAACAAATATGACTATAACTTACTAAGTTAAATTAAAGTTATCCATGCATGATCACTGCATATAAATTAAGTAGAGTCCTTAACTAGCTAATTCATGAATTAAATTTTGTCGCCTGCCATGTGTTTGAAAAAAAAAAGGCCTTCTTTATGGGCATCAACTTAGAAAATCCAAATCCCTAATAACTATTGTTGATTGGACAAAACTCTAAAACAAGAATGAGTATGGGACTAATTTGGACAGAAGAATGAAGACGTTGCTGATCAATATGGTCCCCTATCTGATGGACAGTTTGGGTTGGCCACACGATTCCTCTACATGGTAGGCTTGTCCCTAGTTGATCCAATTAAGAAGCATCTTTTTCTATATATTCAACATTGTCATAATTCATATTCCAATTGTGTACACTTACTTGGAGAAGCTTGGGTTCAGCATAGGTAATGACTTGATGCTCCGCCTAGCCTAGTTCGGTTCAATCAATTAGTATGGCAATTCTGTTCACTGGTCTAATTCGGGTGTATGATATCTTATTTTAAATGCCAGCCTAGTTTATTATAGAGGGAGATTCAAAGCTCGTGATTGCATGCCTTTGTCAAGAGACAATTCCGTCGTATAATCTCAAGTATCATTCAAGATTGCATGGAGAGAAGGATAGGCACAGGAATGGATTGATGCATGGTTTTTAAAACTGGACCGGATCGGAAAAACTGGTAACAGGTCAGGTGATCAGTTCTGTTTTTCCTAAAATCATTGATTTTGGTCAGTAAACCGCTGACCCAGATGATTAATCATTCGAATCATTCAAACGGTTTTGATAATTTTTTATTTTTTTATTTTTAGTTAAAACGGGCCGATCATTCAACCCGGTAACTGGACCCCTAACCAATTCAGTCTCCAGATCGGTTTTAAAAACCATAGATTGATGTATAAACATGTTTTTCGAGAAACGAACCAAACTGCAGATTGATTGACTGGTTTTATAAAAAATTGATTAAATATTGTGATCTCAATGTAAAAATATTAATGTATCAAGAATTGTTCCTTCATTGAACCACAGTACCCTTTAGGTTGTCAAATTGGTCTATTTAGTTTTTTTTATCCAAAAGCAATCCACATAATCCAACTAGGTCATGTTAACCATGTCAACCATATATATCAACTAAACCCTGATATCATAAATCATATAATAAAAATATAAAAAATAAATAAAAATACTGTAAAAGCATAAACAAGTTATTATAAAAAAATGTACAAAAGTAAGCTTGATAAATGGGTATTATTGTCATTGATGATAAAAATTGTTAAATGGGTTAGTGGCTGTCTAGCAACCTATTATTGCGCAAAATGGTTCAATGGTTGAACCAATTAGATCACTGGATCATCAACTCAGTCAAAGGAACTCAGGAATAGCACCAATAGTGATAAAATGAGAAAAAGTAGATTAAGATGATTTGATTATATGCATAAAAGACCATAAAAATAAAGCACCCATAAGAAGAAGAGATGTTGCAGCTTGAAGGGACCAGAAAGCTAAGTATAGATAAAAAAAGGGCATGGATATAAATAGTAAAAAATAATTTAAGTGCTAATAATTTAAAAATATTAAAATAGAATGGAAAACGGGATTCAAATAGCAAACCCCATGTACTTGGTACAAGGCTTGGATGATGATGATGGATGATTATAAGGAAGTAAGATTATACAGAGAACAAGTGGACTCAAAAACCTGGCTGAACAATGAATTGATTGGTCTGATCAGAGTTCAACTATGTGTATATATCTATATCTCTAGCAATATCTATCAATAAAATATAAAGGGGATACTTGTCTTGGATCCGGGTGTAAAAGTTAAATTAAATATGATACAATCATAAGGTTTATAGGAATCATTTTGGCCATTGGTTTCTGGGTCAATGATTTGACCATCTGGTCGGAATGGATATTTCATTGTAATTTAAAAAATAAAAATATTAAAACAAAAGGTTAGACTATGATATCGGAAAGATATGATATTTGAAAAGGTTTCGATCAATCAACTAGAATTATAAGCGCATAGCCAATTAGATGTTATTTATCAAAATTTATGAGTGAATTTTGATTAGTCAAAACTCTTTGATACCATGTCTTTTCCACATCATAGATTTTCCTTAAAACAAAAATTGTCAAAAACCATTGTCCAAATGGTATGGATTGAAAGTTCGACTGTCCGGATCAGTGGATGGCTGACCAACTCGGCAATTTTTGAAAGAGGACCAGGTGAGGGGTGAAATGAAACAGGTTGATTTAACAGTTTATAGGCCGAATGGTCCAACCGTCCGAGTCGACCACGGTTTAAAAACCATGGTAGAAACACACTCCAACTGTCCCATTCTCATTCAGTCCAGCGAATTCAGCAGTCAGCAAACAACACTTTACATCATGCTGCCCTTCTAAGCCCGACAATGTCGATAGAACTGAAACGTCTTTCCTCGTCCAACCAAAACATTACTCCTCTGTTTTGTTCAGACTTCAGACAGAGTCAAACTAAATCCATGGCCCYAACTTGTCCCTCTCTCCTTCCCAAGTTCCCATAATAGTCATATAGAAAGAATCCAGATAACCCGGCAAGACTAGATCGTTTGACGCGGTTCACAGTGAATTAATAACCCCACAAAGAGAAACCAGAGATAGTGGAGAACCAACCTCCTCCTTCCCCATCTCATCAGTCGTTGCTCACAATCATTCAATGATTGAATAACTAATATCGTTCATCTGTCTCTGTCTGTGTGCCTGTCTCTCTCTCTCTCTCTAAAGTTAACCACTTCTCACAGCATCCATTTCGCTTATCCCTCCAAATGTTAGGCTTATTAGAAGTTATCGGAGATGAAACCGGGAATAAAGAAGAAAAAAACAGAGGAAGAAAAGAAAAAACCCCAGAAAAAAAGAAGAAAAAATGAAGAAAAAAAACCCAAACGCTTGTTTGTCCCTCGGTTCGGAAAGAAAAAGTCAGTCTTTGGATCCATTGCGCTTTTTGCTTTCCCGTTAATCAAAACAAAACAGTTACAGAGGAAAAATACACAGACGAACAGCCAAACTGAAGGGGAAAAAGCAAGAAAGATTGCAGAGATTGAAAGGAGATTGATCGTGCAATCTGGGTTTCTGAGTTCAAGGAAGGAGCTGAGACGGATTTACCGAGTTGGGTTTGAATGGGTGAAGAAATTCGCTAAAGACTGGGAATGTGATGTGAACTGGTGGCGGAGAAAGGATTGTAGTGAAGATGAGCAGAGAACAGGTTTCAAAAGCCTGGGAAGCAACGGTCCGCAAGTCACAAGCAGCTGCAAAGAAGCGCGGAAGCGGCTTATTCTCGACAATGTCGGTTGCCCATGCCGACGACGAAGACGGTGGTGGTTCTACCACGGAGTCTTACCACGCCGAGAAGATGCTCGCCAATGGCGACTTCTATACAGGGCAATGGGTCGACAACCTTCCGCACGGTAACGGCAAGTATCTGTGGACCGATGGGTGCATGTACGTCGGGGAATGGTGTCGTGGGAAGACCAACGGCAAGGGTAAATTCAGCTGGCCATCTGGGGCTACCTACGAAGGAGATTTCAAAAGTGGGTACATGGACGGCAAGGGCACCTACACTGGTTCGAGCGGCGACACCTATCGTGGGTCGTGGGTTATGAACCTCAAGCACGGCCAAGGTGTTAAACACTACGCCAATGGCGATTCCTATGATGGGGAGTGGCGGCGTGGTGCCCAAGATGGGAATGGCCGATACCAGTGGAAGAATGGGAATCATTACATTGGGCAATGGAAGAATGGTATTATCTGCGGCAGCGGAACTTTAATCTGGACAAATGGGAATCGATATGATGGGTCTTGGGAAGATGGATTACCCAAAGGGAATGGAACTTTCAGGTGGTCTGACGGTAGCTTCTACGTGGGCACCTGGAGCAAGGACCCAAAAGAGCAGAGTGGGACTTATTACCCATCCGGCGCCTCGGCATCTGGGAATCWTGATTGGGATCCTCGCGAGGTGTTCTCGGTTGATCTGAATGAATGTAAGATTTGTCCTGGTGAGAAGGTTTCGGTTTTGCCGTCCCAGAAGTCGGTTAATTGGCCCGGAGCTGAGGGGAGGTCGTCCAAGGCTCCGGATAAGCCCAGGGGAAGTTCGGTGGATGGGAGGGGGAGTACAGATAAGGGACTTGATAGGATTTATATTTCGGAGTCTGATGGGGACATCACTTGTGACATTGTTGATGCAAATTCAATGCCGAGCAGAGATGGGGATGATGGTATTGGGGGGCCTCAGGTCGAGGACGCCGGAGCTCGGTTGCAGCAATTGAAAATGCAACCAAGGGAGACGAAGCGGCAGGGAGAGACAATCTCTAAGGGGCATAAGAACTATGAACTCATGCTCAATCTGCAGCTGGGAATCAGGTAGTGTTACTGATCTAATGGCATTCTGCTTTGTGTCTTTTTGTTGATCTTCCCTTCTCTTCGTTCTCCTTTTTTCCTGCTTTTATTGGGCCCTTTTGGTTGTTCATGTTCAGCTTCTATTGTTGGTTACTTCATTCCCCCCCCCCTTTTGTGAATAATGCTATATTGGGTAGCTAAAAGCCATCTCTTGTAAGGAATTCTATTATATTATCCATTGATAGAAAACAATTCATACTATTTGCCTGATACTATATTTTGGAAATCATATTCTGTAAAATTTCAAAGAGTTTATGAAATCTGTGGCAGTTAGCACCACGCATGAATAATAAAGAGGAAAAATATTTCTTACCCTATAAATTACATAGATATCATCCAAGTGACTGACTACCTAGATTGAAATAAATTGCTGTACTTTCATGTTTTTGTGTTTCTTCTTTAGCTTTTATCATCATTCTTATCACTTGTTCTCCTGTAGAAAAGGTTACCATGTATTCACTTGTGTTTTGCAATCTAGATCTTGCACTCCAGACTCTTTACGTGAAATTCAGATTCATTCTGTTTGTTCTTATTGACATCCTCTTCTCTTTGAGAATATCTTTTGAAGTTCAATAGATAAAATTTTATATTTATCATTTKCTTCTGTTCAATGAGCTACAATTGGACTTTGCTGTTTCTCTTTACTCATCATTCATTAAGTATTGAAAAATCTTAGGGTTCTAAATGGTGGATTAGACAAGGTTAGTACCCCATCCCACCATATTCAAGTAGTGATTTCTAAATTTTTAGCTGATCTGTTGAGTAATAGTGAGTCAATTACAACTTAATCCAAGTTTGGGAGGCATGACATCCCCTTATAAGCTTGTTGTTAGGAAGAAGCAACTGAAGTAAAAGAATGTATTGTTTTAATTTAATCTGTTAAATAATCAACAGTTTTAATTTAGTAGTCTTGAATTGGAATTTTCTATAGTGATTATTTTAATCACTATTTTCTTTTCACTCTTAAAATGTGATTCAATTCAACAGGCATTCTGTAGGAAGACCCGGCCCAATTGCAACCCTTGATCTGAAGGCTTCAGCTTTTGACCCCAAGGAAAAAGTATGGACAAAATTCCCTCCTGAGGGAAGCAAGCATACTCCACCACACCAATCCTGTGAATTTAGGTGGAAAGATTACTGCCCATTGGTTTTCAGGTTAAGTCTTGAAATATATTCTTTGTTGACGTCACACACTTTGCTTCATGTTGCTTACTTCCATTCAACTGTCCTTGCAACTTAATTATTGTTCATTATAATCTGTACCAGAACACTCCGGAAATTGTTCAAGGTGGATCCAGCTGATTACATGATATCAATATGTGGAAATGATGCACTCCGGGAACTCTCCTCTCCAGGTAAAAGTGGAAGCTTCTTTTACTTGACCAATGATGACCGCTACATGATCAAGACAATGAAGAAATCAGAAGTGAAGGTATGTTCCTTTTTCTGCTACCTGTGTCTTGGTTTGAACCAAGATCAACTCCACTGACCTAATTCGTTTTTTGATTCTTTCGCCATCCTGGTGTAGGTGCTTATAAGGATGCTTCCAGCCTACTATAATCATGTTCGGGCCTTTGAGAACACACTAGTTACTAGGTTTTTTGGTCTGCATTGTGTGAAGTTAACTGGAGCTGCACAAAAGAAGGTAGGAACATAAAATCAACACTTGTTTTTGAGTCCCTAGAATTTTTCTCAAACATGAACAAGTGAGGTAGCAATGCCTTGCAAGCTTATAAAATTTCTGTTGAACCAGGTTCGCTTTGTTATAATGGGAAATCTGTTCTGCACTGAGTATCCCATCCAGAGGCGCTTTGACTTGAAAGGTTCTTCCCATGGCCGGACAACAGATAAGCCTGAGGCAGAGATTGATGAGAACACAACCCTTAAGGACCTTGACCTTAATTTTATATTCCGACTGCAAAGAACATGGTTCCAAGAGCTTCATAGGTGAATTCAGCTTAACTAAATCTCTAAATTCCAATGAAAAAATTACTTATTTTTATCAATTATGTTCATGTCTTTTTTTTTTTTTTAATTTATTCTTTTGGCTTGTTAAAACTGTCCTTAGCAGGCAAGTGGATAGAGACTGTGAGTTCCTTGAACAGGAGAGAATTATGGACTACAGTCTTTTGGTGGGCCTTCATTTTAGAGATTCATCATATACCAGAGATGAGGGTCGTCATTCTAGTGTTCGAACTCCCATGGGTTATTTCTCATCCTTAACTATGTTGTTCCTAGTTTTTATTATCTCAGCTTGATCTTGTATTCAACAGACACTTAGTGTTGTGTTCTCTTACAGGTAATGGCGACCATGAGAGTGAAGGAACAGCTCCTCATCTTCCTAGAGTGGACATGGATCATCTCTTTGACYCCAGCCGGTATATAGTTGATTCATATGAAAGCTGTAGTTAGTCATGATATCATATGTGACACTAATATCCCCTGTCAGCTATTCATATTTTTATTTTTCCTTGAAGCATTCTTTTTTGCATCAAATGCTGCAGGTGGGCATCTATCAGGTTGGGTATCAATATGCCAGCACGGGTTGAGCAAACAGTGAGAAGAAGTGATTGTGATTCTCAGCTGGTTGGAGAGCCTACAGGAGAGTTCCGTGATGTGATTTTATTCTTTGGTATCATTGACATACTTCAAGACTATGATATCAGCAAGAAACTAGAACATGCATACAAATCCATCCAATATGACCCAACCTCAATATCAGCAGTCGATCCAAAGCAATACTCAAGACGCTTCCGTGATTTTATATTCAAAGTTTTCACAGAAGACACTTGAACACCAGCTGAAAGCCACTGCAACTGTCACATACAGGTTTGACAGCATCCAGTGCCTTGTTTTGCCAGCTGATGTATTCTTGGAATTTCTGCTGGAAGGCATTCATGTATAGTCAATCTTAGTGGGAATGGCATTCTACTTACCACCAAAGTTTTGAAGGTAGCCATCAACATGGCCTTTGGAGGATCAGTTGTGGCTGCAGAATTGCATGCTGGATAGTATGGCATTGTTCTCCTCTCTCCTCTTTATATATAATTATAGATATATAATATGTTTGGTAAGGGTATAGATGAAAGCCTTGACATTGAAACATGCAAGCCCATTTGAATTGTAAATGAATTTACCTGAGGGTAAACCTGTACTAGAAATTATTCCTTTTGTATTGAATTCTTTTCTTCTTTTTCATTTTTATTTATTTATTTTTTGTCTCAGAAGATGAAGAGGAGCCTCTGGGATTTTGTTATTGAATAAAAGTGTACAGAGGAGTATCGGAACTGAACTTGTTTTTCTTATTCCATTTATCAAGTTAATTGTTTTTGACTTCAAGACTGTCTGGTGTATAAAATGCTCTGGATAATTGTGCTTTCATTAATGTTAATCTCATATCTAGACGAGTGAAGGGATAGAGAAAAGAAACTTAGGAAGGTCAACTTCAGGCTATGAGAAAAATTTAATGCAATTTTGCATAAAAATGTGCAACCTTATGAGTTGAGAAATTCTTTTATAAATTACTGGCACAACAAAATGGGATGGGTAGACAGTATCTTGGAAACAGTGGACTAGACAGAATTTATCAAAAGACAACTTTATGGTTAAATTGAACCAAGGCTCATAGCCAAATGAAAGTGTTAAATGGTCGAATATTCATGCTGGCTGTAGTGGAGACCTGGCATTGAAACTTACCTTCATTAGGTTTGGGGCTTTTGGTGTTTGGTGGGTAAGTCAGGATTTAGGTAAACCCTAGCCCAACCTAAAGTGTTAGACCCCAAACCCTAACCTGCAAGTCTATCCTGTGGGAAAACTAGAAAGGACACAAGGCATAAATGAGCTTATATGAAATAACTCCATCAAGTGATAAAAGAGTGCTGGAAAGAGAGTGGTAAGAAATGATTGAAGAGCACATATTAATGGAATAGTGAAACAGGATTCATGCAGCATTGGCCAACCCCATGGTCTAAAAAAAGAAAAAGAGAAAACATACCCACATAGTTGGGACAAGCCTTAATTTGGTGATGATGTGCAGATGTAAGTAGACATTGAATTTGGGTTGGGACAAGCCTTAATTTGGGGAGTGCTCTCCCCATCCCCGTCTTGTCCCCGCTAACGGGGATGAAAATTTCCCCATCCCCATCCCCACGGGGGAAATCATCGCCATCCCCTACCCAATTAGGGTGGATCTCCACAGGGATCGGGAAATGGGGAAAATTGCCATCCCTAGTTAAAAATCTCTATGCATGATATTGTATCTCTTCCAATACCAATACACCTATTTAGATGTTTTAAAAAAACTCTTGTTCTCAATAATTAAAACATATAAAAATAGGCCCAACTTCAAATTAAAAAAAAAAACTAAAACAGTTAAAAAAAAAACTTGAAGGTTCCAAGCATATGCATCCCTTCTGCTGTATCAGGTGTATCGATATTTTGATCCTTGTAAGATTAGTGTACTGTCACATGCACCCCTTAATGCCTCGTAACCCCCTTAATGCCCAGTAACGTGTAACCCGACCCAGGTTGTACACCCTTATTCTTATATCCATGAACATAATAGTGATAAAGTTCATGCCAATAATGTATAAACTGTGATGACAGCTGAATGCTTTTATTGGAATTTTTTTTCCCTATCAGCATTACTTCAAAGTTCTAACAAGGAAACCTTTTTAAAGAATCCACGATACAAAGCACAGTTCTCTGCAACCTTTTTCAATTTTGTAGCTTATACATAGAACATGAAAGAGACCCAAGGACAGGCGATCAGAATAGAAGTGATCGATAAAGAAGGTGGCTAATCTAGATGTAATCTAAATGGAAGAGAGAGAGATACGGATTCATGAGCTTGAAAGTGAAGTTTGCCTGGAAGAGAAAGAAAGAGGAGGGTGGGGGGCAAACGGAAGGAAGAGAGAAGAGGTTCCTTTCTCTTTTTCTTTCTGTATTATCAACTTCTCTTTTAGAAGAATAGGAGTACTGGTTCAAGGTCAAGGCTTAAAAAGAACCAAAACGATGGTGACTCACAATCTATTTTAGTACAACGTGCACAGTCTTCGCAACAATCTCAATTAATATGAGAGAGAGAGAGAGTTTTGAGCTTTGAAGCTCAGGCGCCAAATGATCAGAGTTTAGTCGGCGATGGTGCTGCTTCGGGATGCTGTTTCTTCTCTGGCTTTGATCTGCTTTTATTATCTTTGACCTTAGTTGGATTCCATTGAATTAAAGAAAGAAACCCAGTTGGAATTTACCTAAATAAATGGAGAAATCAAAATGGTTTAATTAACTGACATAACCAAGGAGACGAGATAGTGCAGCAGACTTTTGAAAACTTTTTTTTTTTAATTGATGCCCAGACTTTTGAAACTTGCACGCAATCAAACAAACACTACTTTGTTAATTAGCCGAATTTAAACTACAGAGTATTTTTGGTATTAGACTGCAATTGGTGTGCAAGTCGGGCTCGGGTTGAGGTCAACCCTAACCCAATCTGAGTTGTTGAAAGGCCAGGCTTGAGTTGAGGTTTAGGTAGGTCCGATTTTTCTATTTCCCTTTGTCAAATTTCCTTATTTCATTCACTCTAAGGGATCATATTAATTAAATATTAGAATTATTGTGTAAACGAATATATAAATATATAGATATATACAATTATGTATATATATATATATATAGTAAGATGGTCCACGTCACCTTGTTTTACCTTGCTCCATTATGCCAACCCTACATTCTTTTTGACTCACTTTTCTCCCCATTCTCACTACTCTTAATTTGCCATCTCAGCACCCTCTCTCTTCATTCCTCTTCCTTGCCATTGGGTTTTTCTCTCCCCTACAACTCACATCTCTCACTTCCTCTAACAATCTAACTTCTCTCCTTAATTAGCTCAATATATGTTTTATCCTCTCCTTCACCTTATCTCTAATTCTCCTCTATTTTGAGTCTAGCTCACCTGCCAACAAAATTTATTCCAACGACCTACCAACATTGATCTCACACCGTACATCTCATACATGGCGGGTTCCACTTTTATGATGGGTCCCAATCTCATGGTGAAATGTGTGGTGTAATATCAAGTTGGTAGAGGGTTGGAATGTGTTTTGTTGGTAGAAGATCCCAATTCCTCTATTCTCTCCACTTTCCCTTAAAATAGGGCCATAATTTATTATGATTTGGTTTTCCAAATCAAACAATATTTATATATATAGATGTGATTTCAAGCAAAGAGGGGGGAATAAGGGGAATTTGATGTTTCATATATATTCATGGTATCTTCCATTATTGTTAAATGATCTATTCTTAAATAATACCATTGTTAAATAATCCATTAATTATTAAAATTGATAGTGCGTGATCTGGAAGCTCCTAGCTGGAAGATGGCATAGACCAAGCTGCAAAATAGAGGATCAGAGAACCCGGGGTGACTAACCCGGTGATGTCGCTCCAATGCTTAAGTCAGTACTGTATTATGGATGCAAGTTGAATGCTTGAGTGCTAGAATGTTAGTGAGCAAATAATCACGTGTACCTTCTTTGGGTCTTTGGAGTTAGTCCCTTTATATAGGCTTTGTTTGGCGTGGGCTTCACACACCGCATCCGAGATTTCCAGGAGGTCGCCTAACCGGTCCGAGATCACCGGAGGTAACCGCCACGCACGTTGACCATCCTCCGAAACACTAGGTACGTGGGCCAACTTCAGAGAAACTTGGGAGTGTCAGGATATGCATACTGAATTTTTCGACGAGCACAATTCACAGGTTGTCACCTGGACCTYAGTCAGGCCTGCAAGACCTCGAGGGAGGTCGTTCCTCGCATCGAGGTCATTTCGGCTAGTGACGAGGTGCTATAGGTTGGCCCTAAACGAGGTGCTCCTAGCCGACCTAGGTTGTGGTCGAAGTCGCTAGGTTGGAGCGAAGAAGAACCACGATCTAGGACTCCAAATCATCACTTAGGTGGTGCCTATGTGTCATCTAGCTGTTCTAAGATGCCATGTGTCACGATGTCATTGGAGGGACAAATCCRCCCACATCAATTGCCCCCCACTCCCRAGCTGAGAGTAGCTTGGCGAAGGGAGTAGATTGCTCCTTTTGGCCCGAGATGACTGATTCAATCAGTTCGTAGTTGCAAGTGTTGGTCTAATTTGCTTCTCAGGTCAGAAGAGTTCAAATGTTTGCAACCTTACGTAGGACCTCACCGTCTTGATTTTTGGGCCACGAGAGTGGACTCATCCACTCGAGGAAAGGTGAAGCAGGTACCCCAAGGACATCTACCTTATCAGAGATGCAACCATCAAGGGGTTCTGCAATTTGACCTATTACCTTAAGAGCGGAGCTCCTCATGCCATCCTCAAGAAGGGGTTCTAACCACGTGACTACTTTATTAGGTCGCTCCACCTAGGTAGACCTTGTCGCAATGTCACTCAAACTGGTTCTTAAAAGAGTAGCCAGTGAGTTCGATGTGGAGCCTGAAACTGAAGTGAAGAGATCGACAAAGTTTGCATCCGTCATGGTGCTAAGAGCAAACTAGTCTTTCCTTTGTTCTCTTTATCGTGCTGAATGCATATTGTTTTTTATTTCACCCATGCAAAAGAGGCGACTAGGTCTTATGTGGTGCCGAGGTCTTTTATCAGCTTGGCACCTTAGCCCTTAGGCTTTGGGAGCAACTCGCGGTCCACTCTCTTATCCTTGATCTTGCCCATGCCGAAGAGGCGACTGTGTCTCCTATGGTGCCAAGGTCTTTTATCACCTTAGCATCTTAGCCCTTAGGCTCTGGGAGCGACTCATGATCCACTCTCCATAATATTATTTAGCCAACGTACGGCCTGACCTTTCTGCTTAAGCGGGTGGTCATTCTGTAGTAACTTCCTATATGGCTACTTCTACATCATCACTTGAGATTGGCTTACTCAGGAAGGTGCTTGCAAGATCCTAGCCTATTTTTCCTAGAACCGCTGACCGTCTGCTCCTATTTGAGTCATGGGAGGCTAACCCTGAGGGGTCAACTTTGCTATCTGTGGGTCGCCTACTCTCACGGGAATCATAAGGGACTTGACCTATGAGGCCGGTTCCACTTTCAGCTCACTTCCAACTCCCAGGGGGGCCATAAAAGCTCGATCTGTAGTAAGGCTTCGTAGTTCGAGCTGGAGGTAGTCCGGGTCAGATTGCTAAGGCTCACCTGGGCTGGTTATTTATTTTTGTTCTATTGTAGGTTATGTTGTTACTTTCGACATCATATGATAAGTTGATGCCACGTTTGCACTGCATCAACCCTTGGAGACGCTAGTCGTCAACTCCTATGAGAAGCCACAGGGGTTCGACCTGTGGGGGCAGCTCGACTAGTTGT